CCTACTGTCAGAGAGTGAACTTGCATTTTTATTCAGCCCGTCTACTGTTTTTGTTCAGATCAATGCGAAAATCAGACCGGATTTTCATGCAGCAAACACGCAGTGGTCGATGGAAAAGCGGCTAATACATGTTCTAAAACAATTTTAGAACTTTTATTTTGAAGTGTCCACGATAACAGTGCACCAAACTGACACTGTTGTTACATTGATACAGCGTCTTCAAAGCATTCGCGAATGCCAAGTTAAACCACTATTTCAACATCTTCTCGCAATTCAATTCCTATTTTGCCTCTTCTCTGCACCAGACTGATAGTGCTGCCTTCTTCATTTTCATACATTAAAGCACTGACACAAGCACACTTTATCAAAGTTATTATTACCAGGCATTACTGCTGAACCCCTGGCATGGGGCCCCCTGGTGGCCACAGGGGCCCTATGCAACCACTTATACCGCTTAAGTAGGGCCAGCACTGCCCCTAAACACGGCACTGAACAAAACGAATGCTGACTGGTTGCTTTACATGTCAGTCAGATGGCCTGTTGGGCCGATGAAATCTGTGATGGAGTCCAGACCTTCTGCTGTCAGTCTGAAGGTCTGGCTACGCAAGACTAATCCCCACTAGGCCTTTTAGAGGTTTCCAATAGTTCCTAGAAAGACATCTTGAATGATGTTCATGCAAAAAGAGGACACTTGGTAACTTTTCTAACTTCAGAAAAGGTAGATGACAAGAAAAACAGGAAAAGGTGAAGTTATGCTTCATGAAAAAGAAAGAACACTGAATTATAGTGTTTCAACAGGCTAAAGTTATGGATGAAGGTCATCCGAAAAACGGCTGATTTATCGACCAGGTTTGGTTTCCATCTCTGGTCAGAAGTGAAGATAAACCCCACCGATATTCAAGCACTAGATCAGTTAATCAGGCCACATGACCTTGTGCTTCCTTCCTATTTCAGCTTGCAACTGAAAGTTTCAAATCCCACGAGAGTTGAAAAATTATTTCAGTTTTGCTGTTAAACAAGGTACTTAACCTCATGTTACTCCAGGGGGAATGACCCTGGTATACTGCAATAGCATCTGCTAAATAGTAGAGAACTACACTGACAATGATTGACAACCTAAATGGTGCAATAACTGCAAATGGGGCCAGGTTGATCTCTTATGTCAAAACAGAAGACATAAGTTGTGTATACAATGTTTTTACAATTTTTGTTAAATGTGGTAATATCAGTGGTAATGTTGACAAAAAAAAGGCAAAAAAAAAAAAAAAAATGAGGTTTTTAAGTTTTCTAAAAATCGAAAAATGCAGAAAGTTTCGAGTGAAGGGTAGGTTTAGGGTTAGAGTAAGTGAATAGAAAATAGTGTTTGTACAGTATAAAAATCATTAAGTCTATGGAATGAACCCATATAACATGTGTGTGTATTAGCTAAACAAAGGAGTTAGTCTTTTTATTCCAAAACTTTTTCAAAATGTCATTTGACTCAAACACAATACATGATTTGAGATGTGGTGAAAATGACACTGTGTGAATGTTTATGACGTTTCGGATTAAATGATAAAAATAATTTTCAAACACATTGTTCGCTGAAAAATTTAACTAATGAGTTTATGAGGGGTGTTTTTTTTAAAAGTTTGTAAAAGTTTAAAAGTGCCTAAGAAATACCCAATTATATAACCACAACGTGCCATAATTCAATACATTTTAGAATTTCTACACTGTAAAAAATGCAACAGCACATTTTCCAGTTTACGAAACATTTTGAGTCTCCAATACTAAAAAATGCTATTTTCTTGAAACTACATAAAAACCCTTGATAAAAAAAATCTACAAAGACCAACAAAATTACCCCAAATGTTGCCCCAACTAGTCAAACACAGTTGTCTGAACAAAGAATCTCATATTGTTGAAATGTTAAGGCTTTGTGAGTTCCCAGCATGCATTGCAGCATGAATAAATTATGCAGTTACTGTTATAGAATTATTGTTTTGCTGTTTGCTGACTTCATTTAAAATTTTCTGTTGTTGTTTTATCATTATTGTTAGTTATTTGTTGTACTAACTGTGATGTAAAGAGCTTATCTTTTTAACATTTGTTGGTTGTCACCATTCTTGAGGTTAGCGTGTCTAGTTTTGAGGCCTAGAGTATGTTCATCCACTCATGTCCATTTCCTGGATATCTTAGTCTTGTAAGTTGTTTAACAAGCAAAGACAATGTTGTCTACTTATTAGACTAAGTTGCCCATTAACTTTTGTCATTCGTAAACAAACATAAATGTGATAATGCGATGACTTTATACACATTGTTTTTTTCATCCAGGCAACAGAAAAAAAATTAATTACCCCAACGACAGTAATTGTTTTTTTCAGTTGCTGTGACAAGAATTTTTCTATTAGCAAAATAAGACAATCAGCATTGCATGAAAAAACTAATTTACATTTACTAAACAAAGTATCTTTACTGAGCAGAACTAAAAAACTATTGTTGAGAGAACTCAAAAGTCTTACTGCATCAAGTTGCCTTATTATTTTACATTTTCTCAACTATTTATTTTTTACAATGTATGTATCATAAACAGATAATGATGTGGTGTGGTTACAGTGGTAATCTGTCAGTTTGTGTTGAGAGAAATATGTTCTTGCAGATATTTTTCTATATTTAACACATGGTATACATGTTCTCTTGTTGTTCTCTGGCAGATGCCAAAACTTTAAACTGCCTTCCATTATGTAACTATGAATGACTAATATGTTTTCAAATTATTTGAGTAAAAGTGGTAGTGAAAGGCTAAATATAGCCAACCGCATAGGGAAAATTAAATATTGATGGCCTCACTAGAGGTTCAATGAGTGTTTCGAATCAACACGGACAAAAACAATAGCTGCTAATTCTGATCATATGATGTGGTAGAGCGAGAGCCTCGGTGCACTGATGGGATCTTTAAGTGCATGCACTCTCTGTACCAACATGTGGTAGGAATTAAACATTAGTGTGTGTGTGTGTGTATGTGTGTGTGTGCGCGTGTGTGTGTGTGTGTGGACGGGAACTTCAGCATCTTTGGTGTACAAAATCGGGTTCAAATTGCAGCAGTGTTAAATTCCTTGCTCTAGTGGCCTGTACATATGATAGTGTTTCACTTTTCACTTTATTAGCTACTGATGTTGATCAAAGATATGATCTTGACTTGTTTTTAAGCAATCTCGGCAATAACAGCGGACACTTCTTTTTCTGGGTCATTCAGTAGGTACTACTAGACAATCTATTACACTTATTTTTTTATAGTGTAACTCTGTATGTGCAGACTCCCAGGGGAGGAACTAAGTAGCTAAGAAGCAATGCTACTAACCTACCTACTGTGCATGTTTCAGTAGCCTGACAATAGTCAAGATGTTCAAAATATCACTTTTCCACTAAAAAATTACTTTTTCCCAAGAACTAGCATTTGTGTGACAAAATGCTTTACAAAATAAAACAAATAAAACGCTTTACCAAATAAAAGATTATGACTTGAAATATTGCTTTCTATTACATATATTTATGGAAAGTTGGACTATTTTTTGTCAATAAGTTAGATATATTAAGAAAAAAAATCAAGTCTATCTCTCTTTTAAGCCCTAATTCATATCTTTAAAACATTACTGCTCTAAATAAACTATATAGGGGTGTAACGGTACACGTATTCGTAACGAAAATTTTCGGTACGGGTCTTTCGGTTCGGTGCGCATGTGTACCGAACAAACCGTTTCATTTTTTACAGCAAATTCAGACAATAAATGCTGTTTTGGCGCTCTTTGATGTAACGCAACAGATCGCCGTATAACGCCTCCGTTCTGACGGCAGCGCGGAGCACAAGTGAGCATTCATTCTTTCCTCTTTATTACTAGTTTTAACGCAAAATAAACATGAACGAACATCTCATGCCTCGTGTAATCGCTCAATTAGTGTTTCAACCATGGAAAGACATCAATAAAACAGCTTGCAAACAAAAGGCCACGTAGCATTTCATTTACCTCAGGCAAGTCATCAGTGTCTACAGCTCGTTATTTCCTAGAGAAATTAAGTCTAGTGAAGAGCATTTTGCGAAATATTAGACTATACTTCATTATATTTACTTTACCTGTTAGTGACTAGTAACTGTTATTCTTAATTATTTAATGTATGTTTAAATAAATATTTTTATTTAATATTTATTATTTAATATTTTTAAAGTTATGACTCTGTAAATTATTATATTTCAACAACAAATAGAAATTGTATAATTTAGAAGTTAATTTATAAACAATTTATTTGTTTGCATACAATCTTTTTTTTATTTGAGTGTTGATTATTATAGTTAAAAATAAATAGTAATTGAATTTAAGTTTGGGCTCTGTTGTTAATTGTAACCTTATAGTAATGTAAAAGGGCTCCCTATAGTTTAGAGCAGAAGCTGAGGTAGATTTTTATCCCTAAATTTTTTTTAATTAGAATTGAATGTATTTAAAGAAAGAGCAGTTTGTTCAGTAATCCATTGTTTAATTTTATATATTTTTTAAAGCAATTTATGTTGTGCTGTATCAAAATCATACCGAACCGTCATGTCATAAAAAAGCAAAATCTAGAACTGACAAAAAAAAATAAAAGTTAAAAGTTAAAAACTAAGAACTTCAAAATTAAAACGAAAAATAAAATTCTAAAAATATAAACGGATTCAA